TTTTTCTCAAATGTCCAGCTTGCCAATGTGGATATACCCTGCAAATTTCAGCCCTGTAGCTCTGTAACTTTTCGAGAAAAAAAATTATTTGTATTTTCCCACTATGCGAGCAGAAGACCATAGAAACAAAAAAATTCGCATTTTTGGCTCTAATTGTTTTTAATTGAGTTTGAAGTGTTTTTCGGTCAGTCTGGGGTCCAATTAGTCGGAAAAGTCCAAAACTTGAGCCAAATCGAGTCATTGGGCCGAGGTTGGTGAGTTGCCGTTTTCGGTCGCTAGGGCCTATACAGGAGACAATGGAAATACGTTTTCCGGCCTAACTCCTAGGCTAAGGGAGATTTTTCAGTTCTGTTTTTTCTCAAATGTCCAGCTTGCCAATGTGGATATACCCTGCAAATTTCAGCCCTGTAGCTTTGTAACTTTTCGAGAAAAAAAATTATTTGTATTTTCCCACTATGCGAGCAGAAGACCATAGAAACAAAAAAATTCGCATTTTTGGCTCTAATTGTTTTTAATTGAGTTTGAAGTGTTTTTCGGTCAGTCTGGGGTCCAATTAGTCGGAAAAGTCCAAAACTTGAGCCAAATCGAGTCATTGGGCCGAGGTTGGTGAGTTGCCGTTTTCGGTCGCTAGGGCCTATACAGGAGACAATGGAAATACGTTTTCCGGCCTAACTCCTAGGCTATGGGAGATTTTTCAGTTCTGTTTTTTCTCAAATGTCCAGCTTGCCAATGTGGATATACCCTGCAAATTTCAGCCCTGTAGCTTTGTAACTTTTCGAGAAAAAAAATTATTTGTATTTTCCCACTATGCGAGCAGAAGACCATAGAAACAAAAAAATTCGCATTTTTGGCTCTAATTGTTTTTAATTGAGTTTGAAGTGTTTTTCGGTCAGTCTGGGGTCCAATTAGTCGGAAAAGTCCAAAACTTGAGCCAAATCGAGTCATTGGGCCGAGGTTGGTGAGTTGCCGTTTTCGGTCGCTAGGGCCTATACAGGAGACAATGGAAATACGTTTTCCGGCCTAACTCCTAGGCTATGGGAGATTTTTCAGTTCTGTTTTTTCTCAAATGTCCAGCTTGCCAATGTGGATATACCCTACAAATTTCAGCCCTGTAGCTTTGTAACTTTTCGAGAAAAAAAATTATTTGTATTTTCCCACTATGCGAGCAGAAGACCATAGAAACAAAAAAATTCGCATTTTTGGCTCTAATTGTTTTTAATTGAGTTTGAAGTGTTTTTCGGTCAGTCTGGGGTCCAATTAGTCGGAAAAGTCCAAAACTTGAGCCAAATCGAGTCATTGGGCCGAGGTTGGTGAGTTGCCGTTTTCGGTCGCTAGGGCCTATACAGGAGACAATGGAAATACGTTTTCCGGCCTAACTCCTAGGCTATGGGAGATTTTTCAGTTCTGTTTTTTCTCAAATGTCCAGCTTGCCAATGTGGATATACCCTGCAAATTTCAGCCCTGTAGCTTTGTAACTTTTCGAGAAAAAAAATTATTTGTATTTTCCCACTATGCGAGCA